TATATATATATATATATATATATATGTTCTTGTACTATCATGATATGTTGCCAATGACGACCTAATAGGATTTAATACACATCCATAAGTACCATGTTGTACCAAACTAACTCTTAGAACTTATCTCCAATAGAAAGCTCCACAAAACATCTTCCGTCCACACTAATCTTAGCCATCTTCCTCAAAAGTCAGAGAGTATGGTTGAAAATGCTTTTGAGAATGGAGGTTCCATTTATCCAAAATTTGTGTATATGTCACTTTTCACAATTGACCATTTACAATGAGGCTACACACCTTTCTCTTCACAGTGAAACAGATATGATAATTACTCTAGTAGAGTCAATATTTCTCTCTTATAAGCTTAATGTGAAAAATTAGTCGAATTACTAAAATATCTCTCTTATCAGTTGGAGGTTGATGCTTCTCATTTGCATCATCACCTTTTTCAGTGTCTTCTGTGTCATTGTCTATATTTTTCACTGATCCCTTTTTATTTAATGAGATCATTCCTCTTTTTGGTCAATTGGATGCGATGTGCCCAAAACCGTGGCACTTAAAACGCTTCTTGCCTAGGATGAATTTGGGAGTACTAGATGTCTCCACTTTTCTCCATTCTATATTGGTTTTCCTCGGGCAGAGTCGACTTGGATGCTCCACTAAATATACTTACTATTTGATCCTCAGGTTGAACTATGCATGTAATGTGTGGCAATCACCAAAAAACTTTGTTGTTTCTACACAATCAAAGCTAGGGTAGGTATATCGAGTAAGGACTAATACAACTGCAAATGCACCGCATTATTGATAACTAACTTCAATCCTCCAAAATACCTCGTCATTGTATGCTCCTCTGGTTCCATCAATTCACATTTCAGTAGGACTTTATTAAAGTTAGCTTTGTACTTTTTCACAAAAAAGTCCCTTTGAAACATGTGTGAACTTTTATGAAAATGCCAAGTCAGTAATGTGAGAAAGAGTAGCATGTTGCATCCCCCTTTTCATCTTAAGATCGGTTAATAATTTTATTTTTTCTCTCACGCTGGCATAGGCACTTCATTTTTTTTTCACAAAAAAAGCATTTTTCCTTTTAACTTAATTGTTGTTAGATTGACCCTTCTAACAGGTAAAACATCCTTGTACTCAATGACCCATTCAAAATTCCGAAGCCACACAATGAACTTGTTCAGATCTATGTGACCGTGAAAATCTGACAAGTCAACCTTGACTCTAGCATCTTGGTTTCTTCTCTGACATTCCATGTCAAATTGTCGAGATATTGATTTTATATAATTAAAAATTTTATGATGAAAGGGATTCACTTTCTACTCTCAATCTGGAAAATCCCCATTGTGGCTATGGATGACCTAACCGTGTTGTCTCATCTCAGAAGGGGCAAGCCTCTGTTGTAGTTTAAGAATTTCCCGCTGCATATCCTCCATAGTAAGCTCCTAGGCATCATTTTGAGTGTATCTCTTAGACGATATTGTGTCATTTTCTCCCAATTAAGGCTTCAACGGGGGTAGGATTGTAATAAAGGTCGGTCGAGGGATTAGCTTTTAATTGTAGGTATCGATGTGAATTTTTCATGGAGGTAGGGAAATTGCTATTGAAAATTTAGAGTTAGGGTTAGAAATTATGGTAGTAATGACTACATTATTGAGTTGGTCAAAGATTTATATTATGTAGATTTTTGGGGAGTCGTGGAAACGACAAATCCCTAAAAATTTAAAGTTTGTCAGCTTTTATACCAAATAACGCCATTCTAAGGCACCTAGAAGGTTTTTAGGTGGATCTAGCAGTGGGTTGTGGAGCAATTGGGGAATGATAATAGGAGAGTTTCATGGAGTTTGGCATAGATAGGCATCATTCGGCGACTTTCCTGGTAGAAAACATCAAAGAGAACTCTGAAACGATGATGTATGGATAGCTAAGAGGTTCATAGGTTTGTGCACAAGCTAAAGATGCAACTTTAACAAAGCGAAGAGGATACAAGGCTCTTTAAGGTTGAAAACAAATATTATAATATCTAAAAAAACTCGAAACAAAGCTAATGTCTACTAAACTAGAAAATACAAAACATAAATAGTTCCTAACAAGAAATAGCCCTTATTAAAAATAAAAAAATAGGAAATTGATTTTGCAAGGAATTAGACTATTTGGGAGATGGATGATGAGTTTAATAATTACGTAGTTCAAATACTTCAAAGTTATTGTTGTTAGGATTGGTGCTAGGATATTCATGAAGAAGAGCATAGAGCTAATATTCACCTCACAAAATTTCACTTTGATATCAATTTTGGTAAGAAAAAATTATTTTTACCTTTCTATCTATTTTACCTATCTGCACCTTTACATTAAGCAAGTACACAAAATACTACATTCAAACACAATCTCTTCACTATAATTTCTATATAAATAATGGCATCAGAGTTAACCCAAACAATAATGGGTAAATCAAATATTATTACTAAAAGCAAATAAATTATTACAATCAAACACACTTGAAAGAAAAGAAGCAACACACGACACACAAACTCACGTTAGGACGAATCCCGAGTGGTGTTGGGGGCTTGGAGAGGTGGCGGCAAGTTAGGGAAAGGGTTTTTGGGCTGTGGATGAGAGGTGACAGGGATACACCCCTAAAAAGGAAACGGAGAAGCCGGCGGCAGGCTCAAACAAACTCAATCAAAACCTAAATCATAAGACAAATGAAAAACGAATATAAGCCCTAGATAACTAGGATTAAATCCCCCTAAGGAAAGAAGGCACCAAACCACAGTGGATGACCAATCAGCCCTCCTTAGTTTTGACAGATTTTATCCAAACGGCGAGCATGCGAGAAGTTTCTAGCAACTTCTGTTACACCCACATAAGTCTCCTAGGATTTGGGGAGTTTTGACCTCATTTTTCAAAGCTTCCGTCACTAAGTTAAAAGTAGTGGAGCTACTATAACTTTTTGGGGTTGAAAGATCTTTGATTGAAGCTCGACAAGCACATGGAAGTGCCGACAGCACTGTCTCCCAAAACATCTGAGGAGTTTTCCCCACTTGCTAGAAGTCATCCATATCAATCCATCCATATAAGAGTGCATTGCTTATCTAAACTGAAACTTTGTGCCAAGTGTACCCTGCAGAGTCTTCCAAAGGTAGTTCCTGGTTGGCTCAATCCTACCTGACGTAAAAGCAAACTGAACTCCCTCTAATTGTGGCGCCCATGGTGGTAAGGTATAGGTCATGATGTTCTGACATACTCTCTGTAGTGATCAGCATGTATCTTGAATTGGCATCTCTATTTTGCTTTCCTACAATATCATCAAAACAAATCCTACTGTCACTTTTATGCTAGCAAGGGCACCTATATTCTTGAATACCACAAAAGGAAGGATATTGTGTTTGTTATCATTAGCGAAGGAGTAGATATTCATGTTGAGTCTGATGATGAAATTGCAACGGTTTTCCAAAAAAAGCTGGCAAACATCTGTGAGCATCACGTCACACTAAATATGATCCTACAGCTAGTTCCCAATCGAAAACTTCACGAGACACCTCCTGTCAATGATGACTTTGTTCTTCTACCTCAATCACATAAGGGAGTATGCTTGGCAATAACTCAAAGTCATGAGACTCAATTTGTCCGCCATCAATGTAGAGGCCACATTCTTTATGCTCCTTCCATCGATGAAGAGATTGCATACATTTCCCTTCACAAAGCAACAAATATAAAATATGTTGTGGTGAAACCACAATTGATCCTTCGCAGTCTCAAACCCCAAGACCCATCAAACCACATGAACCTCACCCTCATCCGGTGGAAAATGGTACTTACCCTATTCTTCAACTGTCAACTCTTCACTCACTTTCTCCACTGCACCCTACTCTATAAAGGACAACTCTGCTCGTCCGACAATTAGAATCGATGTATCCAGAACCATGACACCCAAAGCATTTCCTGACTAGGACTGTAGTAAGCATGCTAATTTTCCCATGGTTCTCACTCTGAGTGGCTCTATCCTGCTCTTGAACAATCTGCTCTACTCCCTGAGGCATGCTCCTCCTGAGCTCTCCAAATGCAGGTGATTGTCTGCTGACAATGGTTGTCTGCTCAGCTTCTGTTGTCTCTACTTTTAGTGCTAAGATTTACATGTCTCTCAATGTCGAATAAGATTGCAGTTGTACTACATTATTGATTGCAGGCTTCAGGCCTCCTGAGTGCCTGGTAATGGCGTGCTCCTCTTTCTCCCTAAACTCACACTTTAACTAAAGTTGCATAAATTCTGGTGAATTCTACCATCAAAGTCCAATAGGTCCTCCACATTCATGCCCAGATCTCTGTATCCGCCAATTGGCATGTTATCACTGAACCTTCAAACAGACACTCCAGTTTTAGGTATGTGTTGAAATTATATCTCAAAGCTTTGTGGATTGTCTTATTCTCCACTAGAATCATTCCTACATAAAGAATTCTGGTGTTCTTCTTGATCTCCTTCACAGATTTCACTATTATGGTTGGTGGTGATCCAACCCTGGTTCTTTCCTCAATGGCATCGAGCCAATATAGCACTTGGAGGAGAAGCCGTTGTATATCGTCCATAGTAGATTCCTGATCAAATTTCAATAATTATCTTCACTGGGGTATCGTTAGGGTTTTGGGTGTAGGTAGGTGGAAGGAAAAGGAAAAAAAATTGGGGGAGGGAGTGGAGATAGGTTTGGGTATGGCTGATTAGAGAAACCCTATGATAGGACTAGGGTTAAGCCAGCAAAGACACTAAATAATACAGGAATTAATCCAAACGATAATACGTGAACAAATAGTATTATTGGAAGCAAATAGATGGTTACAATCAAACGCACATGAAAGGGAAAATACAGCACACACGAAACAAAAACTCATGTTTAGGTGGATCCCCAGTAGTAGTGGCGACAGTTAGAGGGCATGGAGGGTGGCGGCCAGATAGGAAAGGAGTTTACGGGCTGTCGCTAAGAGGCGATGGTGATTATGGGCGACTGGAACAGCAGACCAAACAACGACAGTTTGTTGTTTGTTGGTGACTGGAAAGGAGAAAAACAACAAATTTGTTTTTTTTTTTTTCCGGATTTCCGGATTGCGGCAGCGAGGTACTGAGGTACTGTGATTGGGAGTTATGCGGCAAAGTTCGGGAAGGGTGGAAGCAGTTGTATGGGTTGGAAGTGATGCTGGAAAGGAAGCGAGGTGACTGGAAATGAGGGAGAGGCAAAGAAAAGCAGCAATAGCTACTGTTTCGGGTGACTACAACAAGGATGGGGTAGCAAAGAATGAAGTAGGGGGTGGGTAGGGGATAGGGAAGATAATAACCACCTCGGGGAAAAGATAGAGCCAGAGCACCACCCAAACACTCGAATCCAGCCCTAGACGGAAAACGAACACACCGGCGACAGCCTCGAACAAACTCACGCAAACCTAGAAATCAAAGACAAATGGGACACATAACAAGGATTAAGGAGCGGCCAAACCGCTGTGAAAGAGCCAATTGGCCCTCCCAAATCTGGATCTGCTCGGTCCAGACGACAAAAGAGCGGGACGTTTCCAACGACTCCCGTTATGCTCACGTCAAACTAGTTCAATTGATCCAAATTTAAGGGTTGAACAGTTTTTACAACCAAGTTGATCTAAATTTCCTACAAATATGTTTTTGCAATCAAATCAAACATATTTGAAGACGAATCAAACCTTAAAATAGTGCAATTACGTATTGAGAAGTTTTGTTCTATGGGGCAAATCATAAGCTTTAAAATCAATAAATTGCATAAAACAAAGAAGTATTGTATTAAATTCAATGTATTATGTAAGGATAATAAATTATATTAACCAATTGATAGCTTACAATGTAAGATTAAAATCTTAATATGGTAATTGTAATATATTGTTCAAAGTATAAATTAGCATATTAACATCAAACATCAAAACATAAAATAAGAAATATTACACAAACATCTAAGTAGGCCAAGCGATAGGAACGATATTGTTTCAAGCTCCTCGTTAGGCCAAGGAATAAAAACTTATTGTTTAAAAGTTAGAATCAAACTAACACCAATCTAAGGTTTCTAGATGGTAGACATGTATCAATCAAGGATTGGGGATGTTATAAGATTTGAGGGGGAAAAAAATTTGAGAAACAAAATTAATTGAAGAGGAAATAGGGTGACAGCTGCTGCTTTGGGTACAATACAATATGGAGAATAGATCCAGATGTTGAGGATGACTCACCACTTGTCCTCAATCAAACTACAATCATATCAAATGAGGACTAAGATGATACAACACTCCATAAAGGAAGAAAACAATCTCCAATAACATAAAAATTAACCCCAAAAGTCTCAAGCACAGGAGTTAACGTGAAAAAAAATTAAAAATAAAAAAACAGAAAGAAGCATTTATACGTGTACTTCCATCACAAGAATATGTAGCCAACTATACCTGCCTACTGTGAACATATTCCAGAAAGGATGGAATATCTGGATAGCGACACTGATCATCATTGTCATGCCGACATTTTTGATAACAAATAATATCACCGTCCTCAAGCTGTAAATTAAGGTAAAGCAAATCAATTAAAAAGGCATATTTTGCTAAAGCAATATTTGTACCAAAAACATCCTTCAAGCATTAAACCTGGCTGGATTTAAAAGTGAGCTTCTTGTCAATGTGCTCACACATAACGGTTGGATCAAACTTTATTTCCTGATCATTTCAACCAAAAAAGAAAATAAAAAATAAAAAAATCAAAGACGAGCATAACAAAAAATTTTGTATAACATTGCTTCTAAGTAGCCATGACAATAGGAAACATGTTCTTTATAAATAAAAATTTAATGATAGGCTGACCTCATACAATTCAATTTCTTCGCTTGGTGAAAAACCAGCCATTTCATTGAGTTTTGTTAGAATTTCAGCAGGCTTTCCAAGTGCCCTAACAAAGAGCCTACCCACGTACCTGAGTTTGCAAATAAAATAAAATTAATAAATATATCTTATCAATACACGAGGGAAAAAAATATGCAGTTACCTTAACTCTTCCTTCACAGGGTCGTAAAGCTTGAAAAAAAGAAATATGTCTTCTTTAGTCTTGTCAGGAAGGGAACTAGGGATTGAATCCTGAATAATAAAAACACATGGGACATGGTAGATTTAGATGGGCACACCACCACGCTCAAACACAAGGGACAGAGTATATTTACGTAAACTTAAGCAAGCAAACAAAGAAAAAGAAACATCAAATAGTGATAGAAGAAATCAAGAAAAAAATGCAGAGAAACTTTACGAATTAATTTTATGCAAATTGATGGAATGTTTTACTCACACTATGCTCCAATTCCAAGAATAGTCGAAGTTCAGCATTATGTCCTTTATTTGACACCTCCCTCAATTGCCCAACCTACATAGAGAGGTGAGACAATTAGAATTAGTACCACCTGCTAACTGGAAATTCAAAAGGCCACTGAAGCTATCTCAAAAGCAGGACTCTTAGCAAAGCAGAACATCAATCAAACAATAGAACTAATTGATAGTACAAAAATGAATAGACCCATAAACTGGAAAGCTTGCAATTGAACTATATAAAACCATCACTTATACAAAGTCCAATTCTGCGAAGGTAAAATAAATTCGGTATGTGCAGCACTTATTTTCTTCCCACATTCCATTAAAACTATAGAGAAGGAATTTGCAGGCTTTTTTGTGGGTGTTGAAGGGTCAGGGTAGGAGATGAAGAGAGCAAGCATCAGACAAACATTTGTGATAGGTGAAGCCCAAGCAGATGTCCACCAACCACAAAATAATAATAATAATAATAAATAGCTCGTCTGCTGAAACTCATCTAACAAATACTTACAGACTGTACTTCCTCTAGTGGGCTCAATGGCCTATTGGGACGGTATGTATGGTTTTGTCTCTTAGCCCAAAGCCAAAAACGCTGGAACTGAACTGGAATCCCCAATTCTTTGGCCACCTCCTCCTGCACGCCATAAAAAATATCAAGAATGAAAATATAACCAACAGTAAGTATAAAAACTATTAACAATGGCCAATTACAAACTAAACATACCAGTTTGAAGGAGTACAATAATAATGATTAGTAGAGGGAAAAAGAAATGTCCAAATATAGCACCGAGATTATAAATTTGTTGTGTTGTGTACAAATAATGTTGCTACAATTCTCGCAAAAATTGAAGAACAGTTCTACAAGTACATTTTCTATGAATGAGAAATGGAGGGTTGTGTGCATATGATAAATTCACCGTTGTGAATTTTCCACCCAAATCATATTGTGATCTAGTAGTTATTAAACTATTTGATTCAAATGCATTGCCAAATGAAGCCTAAGCATTACAGAAAGAGTGCCCAACGAAACCATAAAATCCAAACAATATGAGAGGCATTTCTTTCCCCTTTATTTCTTGTTTTAACATAGAGCATGTATGTCAATAAATTGAATGACTAAGCCATTTGCTCTTCGCATCTAAAAGGATAAATCAAGGATTCAAATATACTAATAACATTTTATTAGTGAACACAGATAGAAAAGAACAAAGTAATAGAAGACATCAATCATAGAAGTTATATCTAAATGTAAGTACTAAGCATTGCAGGGGCACTAAGTGAAAACCTTTAAAAAGGGGCAAATTTCCACCCTGTTTTTCTATGCTTAAATGATTAAAGAATGTACACTCCACCCTCAATGTGTCACTGGGAGATGAATGGCTTGCCAATCAGAGAAGCCAAGAATTAAATTCAACTATAAAATCATTCTCATGGCCACAAAATGGTGACAATTTAGCATATTTATCTTCATTAAAGTCATTCAAATGATTTTAATTTCATATTCTAATCTCATAGGAAACACGCCCCTTGTGTTCTAGACACCTAGATGAATATGATGAAAGAAGTCTCAAATTTCATACCATGAGATAGATTTGATGAAGAACAGGCAGAGAGATTCATCACAAGATCAATGATTAAGGCGTAATTTCAAAAAAAAAATTTAATTATAATTTATTTTTTCTTTAGAATTTGAAATGCCAACCACTGACTCTGAAAAAAATATTTTGGTTGTAAAAATCTATTTTAAAAACATAACAATCCCCCTAAACTTAAGGACTTAATAGCGACATTTACAACTCTAGAGTGATGTTCTTAGTTTTCAATTAAGTGGCAGGCCAAAAAAACACTCGGACAAACTTTTAGGGAGGAAATATTTGGAGATCTATTCATCCTTCAGATGATAAGCTCTTCGGTTTCATCAAGTTGTCTTTGATTATTTCATCTTGAAATTCTTCGTAACTATTTCATATTGTACTCATCCAGTTCACTGGATGATAAAAAATTTCATATTGTACCAGGGTTGGCTAATAACCCTAACCCAATAGCACGTCCTCGCCTTCAGCCACTCCACGTTCGCTACAATGTTCCAAAACCATACTAGTCTCCCCACTCCTCTCAACTGCATTATAAAACAACTACACCCAAGCCCACAATAAAACCTAGCTCCACCAAATAAAGTCCCCTAAAGCTGGAAATTGACAATAAACTATGACTTCCTTACAATTGGGGCTACAATTCACTTACTTGTGCAATTATTATATTCTCCAATATCCAAAAGTAACTGGCTTTCTCTTAACAGACTCAAAATGTCACCAATATAATTAAGCAAAATGTAGCTCCTAAACTTTTCAAACAAATAACCAAAAGTCAACATCATCCTCTACATGCTTGACGAAAAAAAAAAAAAAAGAAAAAAAATATAACCGACAAAACTACAACTAAAATGTTAAATATTCACTAGTAGGAAAAAAACTTCCAAAGCAGCGTACTCAATGATGAGAGATAAGTACAGTTAAAACTCATAACCACATAATTACGAGGATAGTGTTGTGTAACTTTATTAACTTTCTAGTAAAGTGGCGGCGAATAAGCATTACCTTAAAAGCTTTGAAAGGCATTTGTTTTTGAATACGGAAGCTGCGAACTTTGTCATGATCTACCAGATCAAAATAAATATCTTTTCCTATCTGCTCAGTTAAATCTTCATCTCGGGCAACCTGAACGTGCAACAAGAGGAAAGCACATTGAATGGAAAGACATTAATAAAATTAATGTAAACATAACTGGATCAGCAACATCAATTGATGTCAAAATCACAGAAAAACCTTTATGATAGTGTATAGGTGAGCCTCAGCTTTTTCCTTCTTTTTGTGTTCTTTCTCTTCTTGCTCCTTCTTCAATCTAATCTGGTAAACAGTGAAGACAATTATCTACATTTCTTTTACAAGAAAGCAAGAGATAATTTAAAAAATTTACAACTGGCCTACTCGAAGGTGTTCTGCGATATCTTTTTCATCCACGCTACATATAATATTATCCTTGTCACTCTCTCGAATGTAGACAAGCATGTATGCATTTGAATACTTAGTAAACCTAAATGGTGTGTTGTTGAATCCAGGATTCGTCTGTGGCAACTTTTGGAGAAAATAAGACCAGAAAAATTAGGATATAGTAAATAACAAATGGGCTACAAAGAAATTGGATAGGTAAAATGGGTCACCTCTTCCTCACCGCCATACTGCTCTTCCAGGGCCCTCTTCATTTCTTCTTTTGTCACTCTTTCATCATCAAACTTAAACCTGCATGATAATTCCAGTAAATTAAAGCTCAGTTGACCTGGGCATTCCTCCATAGGCTAAGGAACACCTGGAATCAAGATGCAAGCATCACATGATATGTTAAACGGCATGATAAAATGAAAAACAAATATAAAGGTAGGGGTATTAAAAGGAAATTGCAGACACTATTATTAACTATTTTTGAAACCTGTCAATTAGATTGAAATGAAAATAGTATACATAGAATTCCACTTGCTATTTAGACCGTGTTAGAAAAAGAAATAAAACAATGTTTGGATTCAATTCCATTTTCTACGTTCTTTTCTTGGTTTCAAGAAAAGGAGACCGAGAAAAAAAAAATGCATTAACATTTTTTAAATCTTTGTTCAGAAACAAAGTGGGCTGCTCCCTGAAATTGTTAAAACAAATAGTAATTATAAATTAAATGATTGGAAATGCTACAAAAGGGTTAATTAGATTTTTAGTTTAAACTTTTTCTATTTATTAATAGTCCTAGGAGAATTAACTGATTGATTAAATAGCCAAAGAAATAGGTATATAATTATGTATTTAGACTGATAAAGAGATTAATTAGGATTTTAATTAAGATCATTAAAGTTTATGTGTCATATGTTTGTGATAATTAAGACCAAAATAATTCATTAATTAACTAAATATCCAGCTAGAGTACTTGATAATTAATCATTTAGTTTTGTTGATTACGTAAAAATTAGAGTTTTTATTAAATATTAATTTACCCAAGATATCAAAAACCTAATCGTGATTATGATTATAGCATATATTAATTAGGATAATTAACGCATAAATGGGATTATTTATGAACTTTATAAACTTAATAGACTGATATGGATGCTAATGTGGCCCATGCGAAGTACAAATTAATCAGGGGGCATAGCTTTATTCAATAATTAAATACAGACAAATCCCGTTCTTTCCTACCAAACATATTTTCTGTTATTATTTCTGAAAAGAAGAAAAAAACAAATTCCTCCATAAAATATTTTTATTTTATGTGAAAAAAAAGACCACAAAAATTAAAATGAAAACAAAACAATTCAAAACATCCAAATAAGATATTTAAGATAAATCACATTTTCATATGTTGAAATATCAGACTAAAATTTGCAATAAGTTTGGTGACTTATCACACTGAGCAATTATATGATATTTAAGATAAGTTTCAATTTGTGTTCTTTTGAACCATACCTTCAATACAAGGAAATAATTAGAGACTATGCATATGACATATTCCAAACATCCAAATAAGATATTTAAGATAAATCCCATTTTCATATGTTGAAATATCAGACTAAAATTCGCAATAAGTTTGGTGACTTATCACACTGAGCAATTATATGATATTTAAGATAAGTTTCAATTTGTGTTCTTTTGAACCATACCTTCAATACAAGGAAATAATTAGAGACTATGCATATGACATATCCCACTGATATAGCAATTCTAGGAACTAGTTAAGAAACAAGAAAATCGAGAAAAATTTTAAAGAACCAAAAAAAAGAAACACTCCATGAGATAAGACCGAAATCCTGGCTCACAAGGCAATCAAATATATAATCCTAAATTATATTAAGCAATGCAAACATGGAAAATAACGAGTTACCATGAAATCGATATAAGGCCAAAATGGAAAGAAAACTGAATTAATTTTACTGGTAAAATAAGCAAAAGATAAGAATATAGCTATTAGCTTCCTACCACTGATCAGAGAGAGTCGGTCTAATAAAAGCATAGTAATGTCCGCCATGCACGCCACCACTGTGAACAAGAACGCTGCAGCATAAGCAAAAGAAGAAAGACTGAGCAAGCAGCATCAAATACTACAAAAAGAAGATAGTAAATAAAGAACTGCATGCCTGGAAAATTAAACTTAAGTTGCCGTCTAAAAATATGGTGCGGATTAATTACCAAACATGCAAGGAGAATAGGGTCAAAATAAAAGCTCACAGGACCAATACAATGTGGTTCGCATGATGAATTCCTATTCAAGATAGGCTTAGAAATCAATATGGGAGATTTACATGTGCCACCAAAATGCGACCTATTTACAAAACTAACACCCATCCAATATCCACCATGTCATCCACCATGTCATCAAATGGGGTTAAAAAATAAAGAAAACAGTCAAAAATTCACAACTTGCAGTTATCAAAATTATCTGATATAATATTTGGTATGTCTTCAACCTAATGATGATCTAGATATATAAGATTTTATTTGTATATTAGAATTTTAAAAGTTTAAAGATAAAACACCATTTTTGTATCTTATTTCCTGATGGCTATCGCAACGTAGCCTAACGGGATGGATTAGAGTTTTAAGTATCAAACTAATTCCAATAATTACTCAATTGACTCCAAGTAAATGATATCAATGACATATCATATAGTCCTTATTTTAGCCTTGTAGTTTTCTTGCCTTCAGAATTCAGCAATCCGATATCTAGAGAATTTGACATCAATAGTTAGAAGATTCATTGTTTACTAACTTTTAATTTGTTTCTTTATATTCCTATATTTACTACAACTACAAATGTTATCATCATTAAATTGAAATCAAAGCAAAATCCCAATTGTTGTGCTCTATATATCAAAATTTTGCTATTTTTTTTCAATTGAATATAACAAATATCATGCATTCTTCTTTACCAACAACAATTTCTCTCTCTTCTTGTGCGCTCGCTTCTCCAACCTTTAAAGTCCAAAAGAGTAAGAAAACCAAAATCCCATAAAAATCCATTCTAAAATAGCAAACTTACCCTCTTTTTATTTGTTATACATTTGATCCCCATCCAATCCCTTAGCCTTTGTTTTCCTATCCTCTTTTTCGCCTAATCATGTATATTGATACACTAAAAAAATATATTATTTTAAGTACTTATTTTTGATAATACTACACTTTCAATAATGTATTTTAGTGTTTTTGTTGCATGCATATCATTTTTAGATATTTTGAGTAAAAATGGTAAAAAAATGAAATTTGGAGCAAAAACAGTGAATTTTGAGATTCTGACGCATGATGTACCAAAATCCAAGGACTACTTTTTCAAATTAAAGCGGTTCGAGATGAATTTTGCGCGAATTTTCAAAGGGACACTTGTTCTACACACCTCTTGGAGTAATTCAATGCATCTAGACACTTTGAAATGTTCTTTTATGTACGGATATGACTCTTGGATCAAATGACATATCTTTTGAATTCAAAAGAGTTGATTTTGGAATGAATTTTGAATTTTTTTTCCAAATGAGGCAGCCCAACATAAAAGAAGAAGACTTGAAGAGGGGAGGTGGCGTGAGAGAGGGAGAAAGTTGGCGTGAGTTAGAGATAGAGAGAGAAGAGGAGATTTTCTTCTAGGGTTGTAAGAGAAGAGGGAATGTGAGATTTCTTCTTCATTACACCACTTCTAAGATAGAATAAGATAGAATTGAGAGTGATTGTAAAGAGAAAAAATCTTGAAGAAAACTTCTAAGGATTTATTTGAGAAGTATTGTGAGATAAGTTGTATTTTTATTTCCTTTGTTTTGTAAATTTGTTTTTATATATAAAATTCGTGTTTTGTCATATTTTTCTCATGAATTCTGAGTACTCTTCTTTATAATTCTTCCGACTTTGAGATATGGTTTCTGAAGAATAGATTTTGTTTTCCACGATTTTAAATGATAATAATTTGTGATGATTTGAACTCTGATCTTCATTTACTTTTTGATCTGGTCAATTGAAATATTAAAATTTGTTGAGAGACATATGTTCTTAAATGAGATATGATTTCTACGACATAGAGAGAATCACATTTCATTTCATGGGAGAGTATGTCATTCATGTCATTGTGTGTAAATAAATAGAGAAATATACTGTATTAAATGCAGAATTAGAGATTTTAAGGTGACAGATTAAAATCATCAATTTGGCCAAGTTGATTGAAAACTAATGCGAGATTGTTAGCCCTCAGGGGAGGGAGTAGTGTGAACTCTGAAGTGGCAGTTGGTATCCTCTCAGCCTGACCACGGAATTAGGGACCAAACTCTGGATTAGTCAATGTTCTTTATATCACTCGGAAGAGAGTAAATAATAGGATTGCTCTTATTTGGCACAAAACAATTTTTATTTTTTTTTTCAGATGATTTTAATTTCTTCGCAATCCATATACTCATTGTAACATTGCGAAGGAGAATGATGTTTTATTAAATTTAAACTTTTCGTCACAATAAAAACTTTGTTTAATTTTCGTAATTTTACTTTTGAAAGTTTAGTATTTAGTTTAGTTTAACTTATGCAGTCTTACATTTGCATTTTAATTAGAATTCACTTGAGTAGTTAATTTTCAAACTTCGCACTTTACTTTTACCTTTGTTTTTGTTTTTATTATAAAATAATTTTCATAATTTACTTTAGGATTTTTCAACTTCCCTGTGAGATTGTTGATATCTATGACTCCATATATCTATGACTCCATTAGAGCCCTTTATTAATTGAGCGATATGTATACTTACGTTGATATTAAAGAAGATTTGGCAGTTTAAAAAGAGCTTTAAAAGATAAATTATTTATATAAAGAGTATTTTTGTTGGTATTATATTGTATATTTATTATATATCTGTCGTGTGTAATTTTGTAATATTGAAAAATATTTGCAAAATTATCAAACTAAATCACAGAACTATTGTTACAATATCTTACCAAGTATAAGTTGAATGAATTAAAACTCAGACAGCCTCACCATACCCAAAATTTATTTCAAGTCTGCTACAATTTTGCCAAAAAAAAAAATACATCACCACTGGAGCATGATCATACTACATTATAGCATACAAATATTTGATAGTACCATGTCAAAATATCAATTATACTCCTACATGAAGATAATATATCAGGTTAGAAGTTTAGCGGTGCTCTACAATAAATCATTGTTGTCACTATAAGTAAAGCACATAGCATAATCTGCAATTCTAATGTTGTGTATAACTCTTTGCCTTATTAAAACTCACCTCATCAAGAATATCAAATTGAGCATGACAATATGATACCGGAGTTAACCCAGACCATAATAGAAATGCAAATATTATTGTTGAAATTCAATAAGGTCACAAACTCTTGACACTAGAAAACAACAACACACATATAAAAGACAACCTAAGGCGATAACAAAGGTGGTGGATGGCTACTAGACAATAGGTAGGTTGCAGATTGGAAGGTTGCGACAACAGTCGGGGGGCTGTGAGGGAGTTACGACAACAGGGTAGAGGGTAGGTGGGGATTGCGGCAGCAGAAAAAGGCGCTTGAAGAGGTTGGCGGCAAGAAATTGGGTGGCTGGAAGGCTGGCGGCATCAGTTTCTGGTGCAGGAGGAGTTGACGGCAGCAGAAGTGGTGGTTGGAAGGGTTGGCGGCAACAATGACAGGAAAGGGAGGCACATGCATTGTGTGTGCATGTGTGGGTGTGGGTGTGGGGCTGGGTGGGGTGACAACAAGCAGGAGAGGGCAGCAGCAAGCAATAAAAGGAAGGAAACACACCACCTCCAAACAAGTTATAGCCTGAGCACCTTCTAGTTTTTGGATACAACCCTAGAAAGTGAAAGGGGGTCGTAGAAAGTTGTCTTGATAGAAATCTCAAAGAAAAAACTAACCTTAATCAATAAAAGGAACTAGGACTAGTAGCCACACGTTGACGGAGTATCTTTGCTTGCGACCCTAGTAGCCACTGGATCCCATTATCGATCGTAATGTCTCCCAAAACACCAGAGGAGTTTTCTCCACTTGCGAGCAAACATCCATATTGATCCAACCTTTTAGCAGTGCAGTACACTACTAGCTTGAACTGGGACTTCATGTCACACATCTGTTGAATTTTCCCAAGGTAACTCGAGATTGTCTCGACCTGAATTCAAATAGGAGTAGTTTAAACCTCCCTGAAACGGCGGTGACCATGGTAGTAATGTATCGATTGTGGTGTCCTGAAATACTCCCTATCGTGATTGTCTTGTGTCTAGAATCGATGTCTGTTCCGTGTATCGAATTGGTGTCTCAGTCATATCATCCTCTATCATCGCCAAAATTGGTCTCACCGATGTTGCTCTGATGGCAAGGGCACCTGTGATCGTGGACTCCGCGGAAGGGAAAAGGATGATGTGTTTCCCTCCTCGGTGAAGGAGAAGGCGTTTCTGAATCTGTCGTGTCGAGTCCTACTGCCAAATTATCACGGTATCACTGACAAAATGTGGTTGGCACCAATGAGTACCACATTGCACCACATATGATCCAACAGCAGGCTCCCAATCAAAAACTTCACGAAACACCTCTGGTTAATGCTGTCATATCCTCTTCTTCAGCCAAGTCAGAGAATACCGATGGGAATGTCTTTGAGTTATTAGGCCCAATTTCTCCATCATCTGCCTAAATGCCACGTTTTTGTTGTTCCCTCCATCAATGATGAGACTGCATACATTCTCTTTCACAGTGCAGCAGGTGTAGAATATGTTGTAGCGAAGCCACCGTAGATCCCTAGTATCCTCAGTCTATAAGACCCATCGAACCACGAGCATCTTGCCCTCACCTGGTGGAAGATACAGCTCGCCCTATTCCTTAGATGCCTCCCCGTCGCTAACCTCTTCCACGGCGCCATGTTAGGTAAAAGATATGGCTCGACTCGTTGGGCAGCTAGAGGCGATGTGCCCAAATCCATGGCATCTAAAGTACTTTCAAGCGGAAACTGCAGTAGTCATGGTACTCTTCTTGAGCTTCTTCTCACTTGGGTGGCTCTGCCCTTATAAGAACCACTTTTCTCAACTCTCTAAGGCATACTCCAGTTGATGTCTCCAACTGCGAGTGATTACCTTACTAAGGGTGGTTGTTTGGTTTGTTTTTTATGTCACTCCACCTTTAGGGCTTAAGTCAGGACCTCTCCTAGTGACCAAAGGTTGTAGCAGCACAATGTTGTTGATATCAAGCTTCAGACTCCCCTGATAACGGCATACTCGCACTTCATCTACAAATGGTCAAACTGCATTGTGAACTCCTCTACTGATAGGTCTCTTTATTTGAGGTGGTGGAGTCTTCGAAACATATCCTGACAGTAATGTGGTGGTAAGTTCTCTGCATTTTTTACTCATCTTTTCCCACTTGTTAATTTTATCATTGTCTTTACTCTTCTTCTACCTTAACAAATTTTTCCGCCACAAGAAGGAGCTCTTCTTCAACTTAATGGTCGTTAGATTTACCCGTTTATCCTCTGGCACTTCCTTATACTAAAAGGTTCGCTCAACAAATTTCAGTCAGTCGATGAAGTCGACTAGATACATACTTCCATTGAACTCCGATAGATCCACTTTGATGTTGAAATCTTTATTTTCCATATGTGGTCTCCTCTCTAGGCCTCCTCAGATATTGAATTCCGAAGTGTCATGGTTTGTATTCCTCAACACTGATGTCTTCCATATAGAATGAATTCAAATTTTCGTCCTTTTCTCCCCTTTGACTATCCAAATCAAGATCGAGGATAATTTTATTGGGTTCCATCGTTAATCTGAACAAGCCTCTATTGAAGTTGACGGATCTCTGTTATAGCTTCTCCTGAATAGGGTTTGAATTGTATCTCCTTGGTGGCATGATTAAGGTTTTGGTATTGTAAGATGTAGTTGAGAATATGAAAGAAACTTTTTGGTGGGAATAGTTTGGGTATGGCGAATGCTAGGAAACCCTAAGATAGCTCTATGCTTAGACTAGCTCTGATATCAATTGATACCGGATTAACCCAAACCACAATAAAAATACAGATATTATTGTTGAAATTCAATAGGATTACAAACAAGAACTTTTAACACTAGAAAAACAACAACATATATAAAAGACAGCCTGGACGATGGCAAAAGTGGTGGATGGCTGCTGAACAGAAGAAAGATTTCGGATAGGAAGATTGTGGCAGCAAACGGATGGCTGTGAAAGAGTTGTGACAATAGGTTAGAGGGTAGGAGGGGGTGTGGCAGCAGGAACAAGCACTTAGAGGGGTTGGCTGCAGCAGAAAGGGGCGCTTAGAGGGGTTGGCGGCAGCAGGTTCTGCTGCAGGAGGGGCTAGAGGCAGCAGATATGGTGGCTAGAAGAGTTGGCGGTGTCAGATTCAGGAAAGGGAGGCACACGCACGTGCTAGCGTGAAGGGGGTGATGGCAGCGAGCAGGGGGGAGTGGCAGCGAGCAATAAAAGGAAGGATACAAACCACCTCCGAAAGAATTATAACCAAAGCACCTTCTCGCTGTCGGGTACAGCCTAAAAAGCGGAAGGGGATGCTGGAGGCTGTCTTGATAGAAATCTTAAAGCAAAAACTAATCCTTCTCAGCAAAAGGAATATATTTTTATTAGTAGATAGCTAGGAATGGGAAGCCACTCCCTTGGGCAGTTCAGCTCTAGGTTCACGAGTCGCTTATCGAGTCGAGCCCGAGCTCGCTCATAATCAATATCTCACTGGGTTGAAAACCCCTACATTTACGTGTCATTAATACATGAATCATTCAATTTATCGAAACACATTCTATTTTATGCCAACTTCAATTCTTTATATCTGAAATGTTGCATGTAATTGACATTTAAAAGCAGTAATTAATTCTATGTTGTACGAAACACCATCTAACTAGCCGAATTTCATATAGAAATGTTTCTGTTTTTTTTGCATTCGTATCACTTATTGTTTGATATATTATATAATAATGAGAACCGTATAACAGTGTGAAAAAATTGAGCATAAAGTAGAAAACATAAAAAACAATAACTACATAAGCCAAAAAAAACTCTATAAAATCTAGAAGAAAATTTGGACAGAACAAGTGGATAAGTTAGCAAAATGTCTAGACAATTGAAGACATAAAATGAACCAAGTTTGATACTAATTCCTTGCATAATGACCTCATAAGAGACCTAACCTCTAACTCTTTTATTTGCCTTGAAGGGTTTAATAGAAGAATTATCAGATGAGGCCTCTCCTTAACCTACTTTTGTTGTGAGAAAAGAACTCGAGAGGTCCATTATCCCTAACCTAACAGACTAGAAAACCTAGAGACCATGAGAATACTAAAAATTACAAGAATATTAAAGATCATAAAGAGCTTATGGTACATAAAACACCCTTGTATCTCCCTAAAATTTATCAAATGATTGTCATAATGATCGGTGCCATAAGAGTCACGTGAAGGTCATGGGGTTCACCATAGGCCCAGAAGCAATGCCATAGTGAATCTAAAACAATAAAAATAAAATTAAAGGTTGATGCTCTAATATTTGCCCTAGACGTCCATAGAAAGTCAAGGAAGAATTCAACAAATCCAACTTAGCCATCAAAACAGACCATTCAAACAACAAGCATAGCTAGATAGCAGACCATACAGGACAACATATGCTCCGGCAATGAGAAAAATATTAACATCAGCAAGAGAGAACTACGTAATGAGAATTCATACCTGTGCAGAGTGTAAAGGTTGCGAACACCTCTATCAGCATCAGGAGAAAGATATTTTCCACCATCCCTGTCAAGGTCTAGCTGTATTGGGAACTCGTATCGATCATTTATCTGCATAAGAATATCAATTTACTAACTCGTAAAGAGTTCAAAAATAGATCACAAAAACTGTATCGCAATATCTATAGGCATCAACATTATATGCCACATTGTATGAAAAAAACTAGAATTCTATATAGGGAAAGGTAGGCATGAACATCTGAGAGTAGTATATAGTATTAATATGATGAGTAGATTAAACTAATAAAAAAGTACCAAAGTTAAAATGGGAATAAGTAGTTCAAAAAAAATGAAAAAACTAAAACCTTATTCAAGATAGATGTAACTACTCTAGAAACGAATAAATTGAGAATGAGGATTCATAGATCCAGACACAAATAATGTCATAACAATCGATGTTGGTGCTTCCCCAAAATCCTGTGGAATCACTAGATAAACAGAAACCCGTGATCTGCTGTAATTGTGATCCGACGTAATTCCCAGGTGAAAATAGGTGATTTCGCGATACGTGGATCTAGGTTTCCCAGAGAATTGGACATCGCAGCTCTGTAATACAGGGAACTCCCGCGATAGCAGGAGGACACATACTTCCGGGATTTTTTTTTTCAGCAAGCTCCATTTTCTTTTTCTTCCTTTTAAGCTTTTTTTTTTCCTATTTCTCTCTTTCTCAATAAAGTATTTTCTATTAGAAGACCATTTATGTGTGTTTTTGAATGTTTTTGGATATTATTATATATTATGTTTGTCTTTAAGAGACTTTGTTCTCTGTTTTATGTTCTTCGAAGTGATGTATTATCTTCCTTTTACAAATAGTGTGCTTGTATCTTGCTCAAAAATAGGCGATGGATTCCCCTTTTGTTTTCAGCCGAACAGCCGTCAAATTTGTTTCTAACTGTTGTTTGGTTGTTCTGTGTTGCAGGGACGATGTCCCTCCACTATTCACGTTAAATTTCATCCAAAATCCTTCATCTCGCTTTCCCTAACAAA